TGCACCAGCTTGCATTCCCGCCAACAGTGTAGGTGGAGAAAAATTGTGAAAATTTTTAAATATAAATTCAGTTATACCCTAATATTTTTTGTCTCTGTCAGCAATTTTTTAGCTTGATCAAGTTTGTAATCTTTATTGATGATTTAGAGGAGAACAAACATGGCAGGTACTAGAAAGACAGGGGACATCCAACCAGGAGAGAAGGCAAACCCTTAGGATGGGACACTGGCCAGTGTGACTGGACTGTAGTGGAAAAGGGAAAAGTCATATGGGGCGAGATCAGCCAAATCCTGCATAGCTGGGCAAAGCACCCTTAACTCAATGGGAAGCTATTGGGAACCATCGTTAGGCAGATGAATGACATTACCTGTTTTGTGTTTTAAAATGCTCACTCTGGGGGTGCCCGGGTGGCTCGGTTAAGCATCTGACTCGTGATTTTGGCTTGTCATGATCTCAGGGTCCTGAGATTGAGCCTTCCCTCCCCCTGCCAGTCAGACTCCGTGCTCAGTGGGGAGCTGCTTGAGATTCTGTCCCACTCCTTCTTCCCCTCCCCTCACTCTCTCTCTCTTGCTCTCTCTCTAAAATAAACAAATAAATCTTTAAAAATAAATAAATAAAATGCTCACTCTGAGCCCTGTATGGTGAGTAGGTTGGAGTAGGCCAAGAATGGAAGCAGGGATTCCAGTTAGTGGGCTGTCATAATGGTCCAGGTAAGAGGGACAGTGACTAGAACCAGGGTGTGAGCCATGGGATGAGGGTGGTGGATGGGTTGGGGACATGGTCCAAGAGAGCTTACTGAGTGATTGTGAGTGTGAAGGAAATAGAGGCATCAAGGATAACTTCAGGGATTTTTGGCTTGAGCAACTTGGTGATGGAGATGCTATTTGCTGGTTTGGAGAAGACCAAAAGTGGAACAGATTGTCTTCCCCAAACCAGTAAATGGCATCTTCCATCACATATGATTTCACTTATATGTGGAATTTAAGAAACAAAACAAATAAGCAAAGGGAAAAAAAGAGAGAGACAAACCAAGAAACAGACTCTTAACTATAGAGAACAAGGTGATGGTTAGCAGAGGGTAGGTGGGTGGGGGATGGGTGAAATAGATGATGGGGCTTAGGGAGGGCACTTGTGATGAGCAAGCAATGGGTGATGTATGGAAGTGCTGAACCACTATACTGCACACCTGAAATTAATATTACACTGTATGTTAACTAACTAGAATTTAAATAAAAACCTAAAAAAAAAAAAGAGGAACAGATTGGCAAGAGGTGGCATTCTGTTTTAGCCATGTTAAATTTGAAATGTCTGATTTGATAGTCTTGTAGAGAGGGCCTATAGATGGTCGTATATGTAAGCATGGAATTCCAGGAGGAGGCCAGTACTGGAAATATGAATTTGGGAGTGATCTCAGTGGAGTAATAAATAGAAAAAGCCTGTTTGAATGAGGAGGTAATGTGAAGAAGTGAGAAGACAATGACTATAGACAACTCTTAAAATGAATTTCCCTTAGAAATAGAAGGATATAGCAGGAGGGATATATGTGGGATTAAGAGAGGGGAGGTGTTTGTTTGTGTGTTTATCTGGGTTTTTTTTGTTTTATTTTTTTATTATGTTCAGCTAGCCAACATATAGTACATTATTAGTTTTTGATGTAGTGTTCAGCAATTCGTTAGTTGCATATAACACCCAGTGCTCATCACATCACGTACCCTCCTTAATACCCATCACCTGGTTACCCCATCCCCCCACCCCCCTCTCTTCTGTAACCCTCAGTTTGTTTCCCAAGTTGAGTCTCTCATGGTTGTCTCCTTCTCTGAATCCTTCCCATTCACCCTTCCCTCCCTTCCCCCTATGGTCCTCTGCGCTATTCCTTATATTCCACATATGAGTGAAACCATATGACACTTGTCTTTCTCTGCTTAACTCATTTCACTTAGCATAATACCCTCCAGGTTGTCTGTTTTGATAGATGATGGAGCAGTAAGGATGCAGATGCAAATGGTCTGTTAGAAAAGAAATACTTGCAAAGTCCTTAAGAGGATGAGAGGAGATGAGATCTGGAGCAAAACTGGAGGGTTACCTTTTGATAAAAACAGACACTTCATGTGCAGCAGTAGGAGAGCAGTCAGACAGAATGAAGAGTGAGTAGATGGAGTCATTCACCAAACACTGACTGAGCACCTGCTGCTATACTGTGCACGGGGGATATACCACTAAACATCGGGTCTGTACCTTCCTGAAATGAGTGGCATATAGAAGGTTCCTATCCCTTTTTTCTGTTTTCTCAGTGAACACTGAATTAACATCATCCCTAAGAGTGAAGGTGAGGGAGGGAATATTTGGAGTATGAGGAGAGAGAAAAATATATAAATTTTTTTTTTGAAGGTGGAAAAGCAAACACAGTAGGGAAATGTGGTATGATTTCTAGATGGTGTTAAGTGGCATTTGAGAAGTATGGCCATGAGTTTAAAGTGAGACCAGTAAGTTTGCACTGTTTTTCTTTAGCACTTGTGAGCATTTGGGGTAGGCATGGTGCATAGGTGGATAAGTGGATTTAATCAGAGTTAAGACTGAGGCTTTGCTAGGCAAATTTGACAAAAAAGAAGTGGAAGGGAGTTAAGAGTGTTTGCCCAGGACTGTTTTTAATGAGAGATAATCGAATCTGTGTTGGGTAAGAAGGGAAGTAAAAACATGGTGGATAATTGATGGTGAGAAAGTGGTAGGGTCAGTAGATTAATCTAAATTTTCAAACAGGGAAAATGTATTTCCATTATATATGTAACTTATCCTCTTTATAGAAAATTTGAAAATACATGAGATCAGAAAATAGGGGGGGAATAGGACCACCACCTAACGATAACCAGATGTTCATATTTGCTATGTTTGCTTCTTTTTTTTTTTTTTTCCTAGTGATAACTTTGTAAGGTTGTATTAGTTTGCTAGGGCTGCAAAGATTACAGACCTGGTGATTTAAACAAATTTATTTTCTCATGATCTTGGAGACTGGAAGTCAAGAGATCAAGGTATAGGCAGGATTGTTTTTTTCTGAGGCCTCTCTCCTTGGCTTGTAGATGTCCGTCTTCTCCCTGTCTTCACATGGTCTATTCTTTGTCCCTGTGTATGTCCAAATGTCCTCTTCTTATAAGGACACCAGTCTTATCAGATTAGGGCTCACCCTAAGGATCTCATTTTAATGTAATTACTTCTTTATAGGGCCTATCTCCAAATACAATCACATTACAACGTCGGGGGGGGGGGGTTGGTGGACACAATTCAGTCCATAACAGGGGTGGTCTTTGTTTTCATAATTGTGATTATTCCTTGGATATAATTTTTGATCTGATATTTTACCATATAACATCATACCTTAAACATTTTCCTGTTTCGTTATGTAGCCTTTGTAAAAATTTAACAGCTGCAAAATACTTTGTCATGTGATCGATGTACTGTGATATCTTAATCAGTCTTCTGAATATTTAGGTGCCCCCGCACCTTTTTTATTATTAAAAAAAACTAATGCTTTTTAAATAAAACCTTTTTTCTGTATTTTGGAGCATTTCCTTAGAATACAATCTCAGAATGAAATGATTCTGCGATGAATGAATGAAATGAAATGAAATTACTTTATCAAAAACTGTGAATACATACTGTTAACTTAGAGAAGTAATGAATTTTGCATTTCCTTTTCACATGACTGTCTTCTCTCTTCCTGCAGTAATAGACTGGAATGATGTTAGAAAACACAAATATGGTCACCTTTCAGAGTCTGCATCCCAATATCAAGGTAAGGAAACAAAAACCTCTATGTAGCATGGAAAAATTTAATTTGACATCTCTTACCGTGAAACCTTTGTTCTTAGAGGTCTGTGGTAGAAAGAGCTCACTGGCTAAAGCACAAGCAAATATTATAGTTTGTAGAGGTATCTATCAAAAGCAGTTTGCTTTGTTTGAACCAGAAATCAGGAAACTTAGACTCTGAGTCAGATAATTCCAAATTAGCTTCACAGCTTTAGGCCTGATTGCTTGACCTCTCTGCATTTCCAGTTTTTAAGACGTTAGCCTTGGGAGTGAGGCAGAATTAGGTGGTATATTCCACAATTACTAATAACACTAATAACACACTCAGTATCTTTTAAAATGAGAGGGTTGGATTACACAAACTCTCAAGTCTTCATTTTACCCCAGAATGTCACCTTTCTATCATCTTGGTATGTTTGTCACAATGACTTATGCTGTAACATTTTTTTCTTTAATAGAAGCTACTGACATCCTGGAACTAGGTAAGATTTCTTTCTTGTATTTCTGTTAAATATGAGTCCTAACCAAACCGGAAATTAGAATGTGACTAGGAAAAGAATGCTGCGCTGTCTCATGGACTAGTGAGTCCCGTGCTCGGCTGCCTCAGGAGCCCGTGCAGCCAGTCGTCTCAGCTGTCAGGCCAAACCCTTCTTACCAGGAGGCGCAGACCGAGCTAACAAAGCTGGGGAGGGGAGAGTAGTTAATTCCACAGAGTCCAAGGAGGACTGGGGGCCAACCCAAACTGGAAGCTACTCTTCATTCACTGAATCCAGAACTAAAACAAACCCCGACTGTCCATAAATCAGAATTTGGTGGGATTTTCCCAAAAGAAATTATTCAGGAGATATATTGAACCTGAAGTTTAACCTAAAGATTTTCTAAATTTTTTAACTAAATACAATCAGAAATATTAACAATTGAAATAACAAGAGTCAAACTGCTACTACATTTAGTTTTCATCCTGACAGAGTGTACCTTAGGCCTAGGATTTGAGAAATAATGTTAATGTTAATCATTCTTAATCAGCCTTCAGGATTTCTACATAAATGTCTTCTTAGTCCTTTAAAATCTTTCTATATGTTACATAAGTATTAATATCCTAATGCCTTTATCAATTTTTGTTCAGATATTTTTATATATTTTGTTACTGCAACTTCACGTGTTCAGCTCTATTATCATCACTGTCTTTTTGCTCCTCTTGCCTTTTCTTCCAGAAACATTACTTTTATTGCCCACTGAAAGAAGATAGCATAGAACACTAGACTAGGAGTCGGAATTCCTGGGTCCTTTGAAAGCCAGCTGCACTTAGGAACTCTGTGATGCTGATCCTTAGTTTTCTAACTTGGAAAATGGGGATAATAATCCCATTCTCCCTACTTCACAGGGTTTTTAAGAAGATTACATGAGCTAATGGATGTGAAAGCATCTTAAAACCACTCAAATGCTTTTCAGCTTTGGAGGATTGTTATTTTCATTCTATTGAGGGACTATTCTCAGCCATTACTCTAAGTCAAATCTTGGAACATTCTTTGAAGTGAAGCATTCTATGAATGTGAGATGAAGAAATGAATGAAATGAAACAATGCAGGTAAAGGGCCTAGAACTTGATAAACAATAAATGAGAGTCACTTTTTAATGACTTAAAACTTGCCTCAAGCTTTCTAAGGCACTGCTATATGACAGGAAAAGCATGGACGCAAGAATCAGATAGGCCTTGGTTCAAATTCCTTTTCCCCACTTAGCAGTTTTGTGACTTCGGGAAAATTACCTAACCTTTCTGAGCCTATTTCTTCATCTTTAAACTCGGACTAAAACCTACTTTTCAGGTTATAATGAACTTGGGAGATAGTGAACCCTGTGTAGCATGATTTAGGCAAATGGAAGGTGCTCAGTGAGAGCTGCTGCTGGTTTGGGTTTTGTTGCTAGTATATACGGTTCAGTGACGAGGGACGCTGCAGTCTACTTTGTTGATAGGGATTGTAAAAAGTATTCTCAATTTAGCAGAAAGTACATGAAGTGATGTTAAAATTTGAAAGTATATTTTTCCTTGTGCAAGAATTAAAGGCTGTGCTAACATAGCACAAGCAAAGCCAGGCACAGCCTCCAAGGAGTTAATCCTGCATATTTTATTTTGCCCATCAAGCATAGAGAGCAACCCCAAGTGTCAAATTGAAATGAAATTCAGTAGATTTCTAGAATCTCAGAGTTTGGAAGAGGCCTTAAAATAATCCAACTTGGCTCAGCATTTCAAAAGTCGACATTTTGAGTATCTCATAAAATGCCTTGTCTTGAACTCCCCAAAGTTTTTTTGTTTTTTTAAAGATTTTCTTTTTTTATTTGACAGAGAGAGACATAGCGAGAGAGGGAACACAAGCAGGGGGAGTGGGAGAGGGAGAAGCAGGCTTCCCGCGGAGCAGGGAGCCCGATGCGGGGCTCGACCCCAGGGCCCCAGGATCATGACCAGGGGCAGATGCTTAACGACTGAGCCACCCAGGCGCCCTGAACTCCTCAAAGTTGTTGGGGACTTACAGCCTCCCCAGGAACTCGCTTCATATTGAGACAAATATTTATTGGGCCAAAATCTGTTTCTTTGTAAATTCTGTCTGTCACCTTTACAACTTTTAGGGCAATATAGGAGAGTTGAGCCAGTTTTTCACTCACCGGCCTCTAGTTATTAGAAAGTAGTGCTAGGGACTACCTTCTCACTGCTGCTCTTACCTTCCTAGTTGCAGCACCATCATCTCGGACCTAGATTATTAGAATAGCTTCCTACCTAGTCTTCTTGCCTCCAGCCTGTCCCCCTCTAATCCAGCCTTCACACTGCAGACAGAATGCCTCCTCCCCCAGAGCCTTCAATGCTTCCTCTTCTCATTAACGTGGTGTAGGAGGTTCTCTGATAACTGAACCCCACTGTGATCTAAAACCTCTTTTCTAAACTGCTGTTTTTTTAAAACTCTACCCATTAGCCATACCAAAATATTCAGTTTTTAGAAAAGTTCCTTTTCTCACTTCTGGGCCTTTATACATGCTTTTCTTTCAGTCTGGAAAAAAAGAAAAAAAGATTGTTAAAAGAATTTTCTCTCGGGGCACCTGGGTGGCTCAGTTGGTTAAGCGTCTGCCTTCGGCTCAGGTCATGATGACAGGGTCCTGGGATTGAGTCCCACAGCAGGCTCCTTGCTCAGCGGGGAGTCGGCTTCTCTTTCTCCCTCTGCCCCTCCCCCCGCTCGTTCTCTCTCTTTCTCTCTCTCTCTCAAATAAATAAATAAATGAATAATGGCTGACTTCCTGCTTATCGTTTTACACTTTAACTTAGAAGTGTAGAGGTTACTTCCTCTGGGAATCCTTCCACAAGTCCTCCGATAGCACCCTCTGTAGCCAAGCATAGCACTTATCATACTTTATTATAGTTGGCTGTTTAGTTTCTGGCCCTAACTGAAGCTCTTTGAGGGCAAGAACAATATTTTGATCACAGTTGTATCTCTGGCACCCGGCACAATGCTTTGATACACACCATAAATATATTTGTTGGATGGATGGATGGAAAAATGGCTCCAAGACTTTGCTTTCTTCTTCATGCTGAATGTTTGTTGTTCTTTCAGCTGCTCCTCAGGTGATGTGGTTTTGTGTCCCTTCACCACTTAGGTCACCATTTAGACTTTGGTTTGTTTTGTCCCTCTCAAAGTATAGCTCCCAGAATTAAATTTAATATCCCAGGTGTGATTTCACTACTCCAACAAAGAGAAGCACTGTTGCATGCTTGCTTCTTCTTTTCACTCACTTTTCATTTACTATACTTTTATGGAGCCTGTGTTAAGTTTCAGGCACTGTGTTAAACAGTGAAGATTAAAAAAATAATAATAAAGATAGCTGCTATCTGTGATGAGCTTAAATAAATAATGATGATGATATGATGTGAAGAGTATGAAAATAAAGGTGTGAACAGGATGTCACAGGAGCTGGGAAATGGTAGGACTTGTTCTGAGAAACAGGGAGAGTCAGATCTTTTTTTTTTTTTTTTGGCTTGGTGTTTTATCTTTAGTTGATTCATTAAAAATTATCAAGTTACTGATCTAAAAGGCCTGTGGACACTGTTTTGAGAATGAACCACACGGTGTATCTCATAAACTTAAGCTTTGGACATTTTAAAATAACTGGGTTTTATTAGTCCTGGATATGCCATAACTTATTTGAAAGTGCCAAGAAAACATGGTTGAGGGTATGCTTTATGAAGAGTACTTGCTCTATTTAGGTTGGTTTTGAAATTACATGAAACAAAGTGCTCCTCGTGCTGGAATAGACTGATGAGAGAAACAGAACACAGAGTCCAGAGATAGGTCTAAATATATGTAATAAATTAATATGTGATCAAGGTGACATTTCAAGTCAATGGGGAGAAGGTAATTTATTCAATAAATGGTGGTGAGCACAATTATTGAATAAAGGTGAAAAGGAAAGCAACATCTTTGCCTTATCTGTCTCACAAGATAAATTCAAAATAGATCAAACATTTAAATGTAAAAAAATGAAACCTGAGAAATCCTAAAAGAAAACATGGGTTAATATTTCTTAGAATATTGAAGTGAAGAAAGCATGATGTGAAAGGCAGAAGTCATAAAGAACAAGACTGAGAAACTGAAGGGCAAATCCTAGCAAACTGAGACAAATGTCTGCAACATACATGACAGGCAGAGGACTAATATCTTTAATCTACATGGAACTCTTAGAATCTGAGAAAACAAAAGAATACCTCATTGAAAAATGATAAAAAAAATACAAACACTGGTAAGCCTAAAAAGATCTTCAACTTTATTAGTAATCAAAGAATTGCATAAAAAAGTATAAGAGTATTTTGTTTTTTCTCTGGTAAAATTTAACACAAGTATAGAGATTGTTAAAGCAGTTTTAGCAAGAAAATATAAGAAACATATTCTTATGCACTACTGGTAGGAATTATATTGTATCAAAATATAAAATATGTTAATCCCCCCTTAAGAATTTACCCTAAAGTGATAATCTTAAAAGCGTTTAAAGATGTGTGTACAAAAATACTTACCAAAATTAGAAAACAACTTAAACAACCGTCGAGAGTATTTAACAAATACTTTTGTTAACTAATGTAAGTTATGGCACATATAAACGATGGAACAGTTTTCAGACAGTAATCTTGGAGTAGAATTTCTGATCTAAAAATTATGACTATCTTTACTTCTTTTAGGAATTTGGGTTCCGCACTTCAGGTGGAATGGGGTAGAGTTCTTGTAGAGAAATGTGGCCAAATAGTAGCCCACACGAGTGAAGGTGCCTCATGTAACTAGGTCAAAGTTAGCAGCATTTGAGGGATTTGGGACATACTTAGAAAGCGAGATTGTACATATTATGCCCAGGACCGATGGGCAGAGGTTAGAAGAAGACAGACTTTGGCCGACTATGAAGGGTAAAGTCTGTCCATTTGTACTATTGAATAACAACTGAATAAGGAGTTTTTCAGCATTGGAAGTATTCAAGCAAAGGCTGGAGGGAGCTTCAGGTCTCAACTTTTGTATCACCCCATCAAGATGCTTTTCTTGACCATCTGCCTAAAAGAGCACACACATACCATGGGCACTCTGTCCCTCTTACCACTTTCTTTCTTCTTTATTTGAAAAAGACCAAATAAAAAGTGTTTCTGTTGCCCTCTGAACCAACTGACATATATTTATTTATTTATTGTTTTTCTTCCCCCTTAGAAAGTAAGCTCCATGTGAACAGAGACTTTGGCTATTTTATTCTTTGCTTTATATCACCAGTGCCTCGAACTAGGGTTGGTACATGGTAGGTGTGCAATAAGTATTTGTTGAATGAACGAGTATTAGAGAAAGCGATTCATGCATTTGACTTGGTGGATCCTTGTGCTTTACACTTTTGGGAATTTTAATTTTTTAAAGGTATTTTGTATGTAGTGTACAAGTCTTTTCAGGGCAGAGATCTTACTTCCTAATAATAAGTGTAACTATCAAGTGGTGTGCATTAGAGTTTATAAAATACTTTCATAAGCATTATTCAGTAATATAAATGAGATGACTGGCTTTTTCTTATCTGTAAAATCTCAGCTCCAGTGTTTCCTCTGTAGAGCATCTGTCTGTAACTTCACCATCTAAGATAGTTCCCAGCCTCTGTCTATCACATTATTTTATTTCCTTCAAATATTTATCACTTACTACTTTATTTATTTGGTTATATGTTAATTGTGCCTCATCATGCACCAGAATGTAAACTCCATGAGGGCAGGGACCTCCTGTCTTATCCCAGCAATGAGAATACTGGCTGGCACATAGAGGAATATTCAAACATCAGTTGAATGAATAATTGAATTCACTCTGTAAATTATAAAACATTATACTTACATGAGTTAATAATATTAATCTTCACGGTAATCCTTGACCCCAGTAACAGATTAGATTTTCCCATCCTGCATTCTCAAGGCAACCCGTACTACCTCATTAACTTAAATTGGTCATAATTGTACCAGATTATTGGTGTTATGATTTATTTAACATTGCTGCTTATTTCTAAACTGCAAGATTCATGAATTTAGGAGCCATGTCTATCTTATTCCTCTTACATTTAACCCAGTGCTTTTGTACTTGGAAGGAGTTTAATAAATATTTATTGAATGAATGAGTGAGTGTGTGTGCAATTTTGCATGAAAGATATTATCTCCATCCTTCTGATGAGTAAACTGATGCGTGGAAGGATTAAATAACTTATCCAAGATAGTTATAGGAACAAGACTTCAGGGGCACCTGGTGGCTCAGTTGGCTAAGCGTCTGCCTTCAGCTCAGGTCATGACCCCAGAGCTCTGCATTGGGCTCCCTGCTCAGCGGGGTTGGGGGGGGTCTGCTTCTCCCTCTCCCTCTGCCTCTCCTCCCTGCTAATGTTCTCTCTCTCTCACTTGTAAATAAATAAAATCTTAAAAAAAAAAAGAAAAGAAGACTTTATCCAGCATCTTCTGACTCTCAACATTACATTTTTTTAACTATACTGGTAATTTCTAGACACAGATGTGAATCAGAAGTACTTAGGGAACCTTTGAAAATACAGATTTTTCAGACCACACTCAAACCTACTGAATGAGAACCTCTGAAGCTGGGGCCCAAAACTCTAAAAAATGAGAAAAATTATTCAGGAGATTCTGATGATAAGTAACATTTGGGAATCAATGATAAATGCCAGGGGTTGACAAATCCAGCCCACTGCCTATTGTTTATTTATAAAAATGGAGTTTTAGTGGAACATAGCCACATTCATTCATATACATATTGTCTGTGGCCGTTTTCAGGCTACAGTGCACAGTTGAGTATTTGTGACAGAGACTGTGTGGCCCACAAAGGGTAAAATTTTTACTGTCTGGTCCTTTACAGAAAGTTTGCCAACCCCTCCCTGATCTATACCTTGCTGCCTGTCCTATTTGTGTGTGTGTGTAGTTGGAGATGTAGTAGACATGATGTTGGTTCCATTATGGGCATTACTGCAGGTGCTCAGACATTCTTATTGAGTCAATAAAAATTAATTTATCTGCAATTTACCTGAAATTAAGAGACTAAGCCTTAGGAAGTCTAAGCAGTAAAATTTAAGAAAAATACTAATCTAGGTATGGTTCAGTCACAGTGGGTGAACTGCTTTTAACAAAGATTTCCTTTTCATTCAGTTGGTAATAGGGTGTTCTCTAAATGGAGAAAGATATGAGATTTCTTGCCTTTATAACAGGGATTGATTACCATAATTGATGTGTAATAGAGAACTGTAATTAATTCCTAATTATTTTGGTACCCCTGATGCTGCCATAATTTTTAAAACCAAAGTCTCTTGGGTGCTTGTGGTCAAAGCTCAAGCTACTACAAGCAACTAATTACCCAGGACTGACCAAACCCTCTAGACCTGCGCCGTCTGATACAGTAGCTATTACCCAGATGTAGGAATTTAAATTAAATCAAATTAATTTAAACTTAAATTTAAATCCCTCACTCACATTTCAAGTGTTCAGTAGTTACATGTGGTCAGTGGCTGCCTTACTGGACAATAGAGACACAAAACATTTATATAATTACAGAAGTTTTAGTGGACAGTGCTGTCATAGATGCTGGACTTTCAAGAGTTGCAGTTCACTCAAATCCCAGACTTAATATTTGACTTAATCCTTTATTTGTAAGAATGGAATAGTAATTTGTAATGTTTTCTTTTTCTAACAGCAAATAGTGGTGAAATGTATTCATTCCTTGCTTTAGGGATGTCTCAGCTAAGAGCAAACTCTTTATTACATTCTGATAAGCTCCTTAAGTCTTGATTCCAGGAAATATCCATCTCATTTACCCTATGGACTCTGTATTCAAGATAGTTAATCATTGGTCAGTTCATGAAGTGGTTCAGAACTGACTGTGATTTCTGGCCAAATCTATTTGGCTTGCTTAAGGGTGGTGGAAAGGGGAGCAGTTTTAAAACAGAAGCTATAAAGTCAGTAGAGTATAAAGTCTTGGCATCATCTTTGAAGTGATTTAGATTTCATCATTCAGTGAATCATTTTTATTCCCAGCATCTAGTGCTTTTTACATGGTCCAAAGCAGCCCTGTGCTGCTCCACTGCAGAGGAAACTTCAAGAAATGCTCGTTTGCTACAGTGTTTTAGCTTGTGAGAGTCTCTGGGATCTTCCCTGCACCATCATGGGGTCACCTCTAGGTGGGTATTAGGGAGAGATTGGTAATTGATTTAACCTTTAATAAAGAACTTAGTCATCTTTTGTGATTTAATAAGATATGTATATTTAACAGCTTGTTCCTTAAAATGTTTTCCCTGACCCCGGCAGCATCACCTTAAAGACTGCTTCTCTAGCACAGTGTTCCTCAAACTTTGAGAGGCTCCAAAGGCCACTTAAGGCTAAAAGATCCTGTAGACTCCCTAACTTATTCTTAGTTACTCTCATCAGAAATGCTACCGAGAACCTACTTTTCTGTAAATTACCAGATCTTTGTCATTTTGCACCTCAGAGCAACGCAGCTGTGACAGGAATGGGAGTGCGTTAGGGGTGGGTGAGAGAGAGCAAGGATTCAAGTATAATCTCACTCATTCCGGTTTTTCCTGCCATCAAACCATGTTACCCTGTGTCTCTCCTTCATTCTTTCTGAGCTGAGATGGCGGGATCCAACCATATTGGGTGTTAAAAGTTATCATTTGATGGTATTAAGAGATCTCTTCAGGAGTCAGGGTGTTCAGAAGGATTCTCCTCACCCATCCTCTACGTCTTCTGTTCTGCTGTCCAGAGCTTCCTGGACACTTCTGTGAGATATTGGTATATCTTGCTCTGGCATTTTGGATCACTTTAGGGACTAACATGAAAACCATGTAAAGGTCATCTTCAGACCATGATTTTAAAACATTGATCCAAAATGATCCACTCAGGTCACCTAGATTTCTACCCCTAATAAATACTCTTTTGAGCCCAATAGGGAAAAATAACTTTTTTTCTTACACTCAGAATGAGTCCAAAAATGGGCTAATGTTTAGTGTAGATTACATTCTAAAAGCACTTTTTAGGAAGTTGACTGTGATAGAGATTTCTATTTCCTTTACAGGTCATTTTACCTGGGACAAATACCTAAAAGAAACATGTTCAGTCCCAGCGCCTGTCCATTGCTTCAAGCAGGTAATTGATTCTCAACATCTTTAGTAGGTGGGAGGCAAGTAGGTTTGTTCTGGTCCTGAGACAAGCAAAACAAGCCCTTGGACTTCTCACCTGAAGGCCCCAGAATAAACTTCTGTGGGAAGAATACAGCTCAAGCCTCAAAATTCATGAATTTTGGCAGCAGACAGTCTCTCCAACTTCATCCCAAGTAACACTTTTTCCTTTCTTAACCTCTTTGAGGCTATATTTTGTTACTGGGAACAATACCCACTTTTTATGATAGCTCTTAATTCAGACAGGTAGGAAACAGAGTTGTAGCCCGTACATAGTGCTTGAAAGGGGAGCAGTATTCATTTCTCTTTATGCAACACCCCGGCCACAGTCCTGCCTTTCCATAAGAATACTGGCACCAAGTTCCACTGGAGAGTATGTTAGGACTTTATTAGAGGTTGCCCCGAGCTTCCCATATAGGATTAAGTGTCCCACACAATGCACAGATAATGTTGACTATATCAGCACATGATAAGGCTGGTAAACAAAGAAGTGTACTGCCGTTAAATAGAGCTAAAACATCAGGAAGTTATTTATACCTTCCTTTATTATTCAAGTGTTTATTTCCTCAAATTGTCAACACTTCACTTTAAAATTTGTCTGTGTTCTAAATAAGAATACAATCCAGGACTTCTTATTTGAAATAAGAGGGACTAAATTCATACTCCCACCCAAAATAATAATAATAAAAGACAGTATATTAAACAGTAGTTTTCAAGTTACTGAAGATCAGGCAGCCAAGCACAGTGATCTCTGAGAGATGAAAAACAATAAGTTGAGCCCCTTATGATTTCCAGCTTACTGCCTTAAGAGAGTTTTGAGACCATGGCCCATAGAAGAGGAGCCCAGGGTGAGCCAGCAGCTCCCTAATTTGAAGAGATGGAGCTGAAAGGGGAAACCAAGGTGGCTAGAATTTAGAGGACAGAGTGCCTAAGAGAAAAGAGAAGAAAGGGAGGGAGGAAGGAAGGAAGGAAGGAAGGAAAGAAACCACAGAGATCTGCAGAAAGCCCTCTTCAAGTCTTCAGCAAAGTGATGTTTCATGTATGCAGTTGAGGAAACTACCCAAAGCCAAGAGAAAAGCCATCTGACAGGATTGGAAGGATCAGAGCCTCACACTCCCACAGGGCTGAGAATAATGCCTGATTCCACCAGCTAGACTAGAAAATCTCATCATTCATGCGGCATACAGTGGAAAACTTGGGAAGATCTTACTCAGCAGTGGGAAATAATTAGCCTTAGAATGAGGCTCTGGACCTGCCTAACAAATCATAAAAGCAAGACTCAAAATGATCAAACTGTTTTCAGGTAACTTAAGGGCATCTAAGAACACAGCACAAGAAGGAATGCAAAAATAACCAGCAGCCAACAAGTAAAAGACAAATGTCTATCAAAGATTACCAAGCATGTAAAGAGGCAGGAAAACATCATCAGTCATGAGCGGAATAATCAACCAATTGAAACAGACTCAGAACCTATATAGATCTTAGAATAACAGACAAAAACATTAAAACATGTATTTTAATTGTATTCCATGTGTTTGAAAGTTAAGCAGAGACATGAAAGATAATGAAAAGACTCATACTGAACTACTATGTGCAAAATGAAAAATACACTGGATGGGATTAATGGCAGAAGAGATCAGTAAATCTGAAGACATAGCAGTAGAAACTATCCAAAATGAAACAGAAGAGTGAAAAGAATCTTAAAAAAGACGAAAAAGAACATCAGTAAGTCAAAGGATAACTTCAGTTTCCATGGGATAACTTCACAGACCATGTAATTAGAGTGCCCAAAGGAGAAGAGATGAGGGACGGAAAAAATATTTGAAGATATAATGGCTAAAAAATTTCCAAAATTGAGGAAAACTGTAAATCCACAGATTGAAGAAGCTCTGTGAATCCGCCACCCCCAGATAAGAGACAAGAAGGAAACTACATTAACGCATATCATAAAGGCTCAAAGTTATCAATAGAGAACATCTTAAAAGCAGCCAGAGAAAAAAGACACTTTACATAAAGGTTAACTAGCTTAGTTAACATTATATTTTCATATATTTAGTTACCTTATATTTACTTGTCAGAAACAATGCAAACAAGAAAGTTGAGCAACATGTTGAAAGTAACAAAAGCAAAAACTGTCAACCTAGAATTCTATACCCACTAAAAAGATCTTCCAAAAACAATACCAGGTGGAATTACGGATCTATAAAAAGGAATGAAAGTCCCTGGTAATTGTAATTATAAGGGCAAATACATAAGATGTTTTTCCTTATTATTTAAATCTCTACAAAAGATAATAATGTAAACAATAATAATCGTAGAGGTGATAAGAGATGTATAAGTAAAATGTATAACATAAATGCCCAGGAGAGGAGAAATCTTAAATATATTCTTGTAAGATTCTTATACATGAGGTATAATGTATAAGAATAGTATATTCTTAAAATGAAGTAGGATAAAATTACTTGAAGATAGACTGATAAGTTAAACATGTTTACTATGAACAGCAGAGCAACCACTAAAATAATAGAAAATAAATAGCAGATGGTAGACTTAAATCCAGCCATATCAGTAATCAAATTAATTATAAATGGTCTAAATGCCCTAGTTAAAAGGTTGAGATTGTCACATTGAATAAAAAAACAAGATCCAATTTTATACTGCTTGTAATAAATTATACTTTAAATATAAAGACACAAACAAGTTAAAAGTAAAAGGATAGAAAATGATATACCTTGCTGACATTGGCCACAATAAAACTAAAATGACTATGTTAATATCAAAGTGTATTTCAGAGTAGAGCATACTACCAGAGATAAAAAAGGTAATTTCATCATGAAAAAGGGTCAGACATTTTTACATGAAGCAAAAAATGATAGAAATGTAAGGAGAAATGAATAAATCTAAATTTATTTATAGATGGAGTTCTAATACTCCCCTCTATGATTAAAGAACACATAGTAGGAAATCAGCAAATGAATAGTAGCCATTAGCAACACTGTCAACCAGCTGGACCTAACTGACAGGTATAGAACACCCCCAGCAACAGCAGAATGTACATTCTTTTCAAGTGCACACAGAATATTTACCACCTTCGACCATATTCTGGACCATAAAGTAAGTTTTGATAAACTTAAAAGGACATAAGTAATATTAAGTTTGTTCTCAGGTTACACTGAATTAAAAATAGCAAAAAGTTATGTGGAAAATAATACCTCCAAATATTTGGAAACAAAGTAACATATTTCTAAATACCCCTTGGGTATGGAGAAATAAAAAGGGACATTAGAAAATATTTTCAACTAAATGGAAATGAAAATTTCAGAATTGTGGATTGCTGCTAAAGTAGTCTTTACAAGGAACTTAGAGCACTGAACACTGATACTAAAAGGAAGAAGAGTTTCATTTAGTCACCTCAACTTCCATTTTAGTTAATGAGGGGGAGAAAAAGAGCAAGTTAACCCCAAAGTACACAGAGGAAAGGAAATAATAAAGGTCAGCGCATAAACCAATAATAGAAGAAACAGAAAAATAATAGAGAAAATCATTGAAGCCAAAAGCTGATTCTTTGCAAATATCAATAGAAATGATAAACCTCTAGCCAGATTAATCGATAATAAAAGAGAGAAAACAGAGATTACTAATGTCAGAATTGGAAGGGGTAACCTCACTGTTGATTGTACAAATATTAAAAGGATAATGAAGGAATATTATGAATAAATTTTTGCCTTTAAATTTGACAAGTTAGTTGAAATGGATAATTTTCATGAATAACACAAATTACCAAAGTTCACTGAATAACACTATTTCTGTTACAAAAGTTGAATTCATAGTTAAGAAATTTCCCACAAAGAGAATTTCAGGCCTAGATGACTTCACTGGTGAATTGTTGCAAACACTTAAGGAAAAGATAATGCAAATTCTACACAGACTCTTCCAGACAGTTTAAGAAAAGGGAATACATTCCAGCTCATTCTGTGAGGCAAGTATTACTCTGATACCAAAATCAGGTAAAGATACTGAAAGAAAAGAACTACAAAGCAACATCTCACATGAAAATACATGTAAAAATTCTAAAGAAAATTCTAGGAAACTGATTTTAACAATATGTAATAATAATTCCTCATGACCAGGTGGAGCTTAATTCCAAGAATGCTAGGTTGATTAAACATTCAAAAGTCAATTAGTGTTTCACCATATGAACATACTAATGAAGAAAAAGTGTGATCATCTCAGTAGATGCAAAAAAGCATTGACAAAATCCAGTGTCCATTACTAATAAAAACTCTCAATAAACAAGATATAGAAGGGCATTTCCTAAATCTAACCCCTAAAGGGCATCTGTGTAAAACTTAAATCTATCGTACTTAATGGTAAAAGTTTAAATGCTTTTCCCTTAACGTCAGGAACAAGACAAGGATGTTTGCTCTTGCCGCTACTATTCAACATTGTACTACCAGTGTGACCAGGCCAAAAGAAAAGGAGAGGAGGAAAGGAGGCTGGAAGAGTGGGATGAAGGAAAGGGATTCAGATTGAAAAATTTAGAGCAACCACCAAAGAAAATATACATGAATTGATGGCTAACATTTTTTCATTAGGGAAATACAAAGTAAAACCATAATGAGATATCTCTGTACATTTATTTAAACGTCTCTGATAAAAAGGACTGACTATCCCTAATAGTGGCAAGTTTGTGGAGCAAATGGAACTTTCATAAAATACTGGTGAAAACGTAAAATGATTCAACCACTTTAAAATAGAGTTTGGTGAAAAACTTTAGCAAACTACTGAGCCAAAAAAAAAAAAATCACTAAACTAGGAATTAAATAATACATCTTTAACTTGAAAAAAATTTTATACCTCAGTACTATAGTTAAAAATAACTCAATAGGAGACATAATGGAAGAGAAACTCTCATTTACAATAGCAGCAATCTATATAATTTTTTCCATACCAAGATTCGTACATGGGTGTTCATAGATTTATTTGTAATAATCAAAAACTGGAAACACACCAAATGTTTATCAACATGAACTCAGCAATAAAAAGAAACGAACTATTAATGCATTCCACAACATAGATTAATATCAGAATAGTTATGCAGAGTGATAATATCTGCAAAAATCCTATAGCCAACATCATACTTAATGGTGAGAAACTAGAAGTTTTCCCACTAAGATCAGGAACAAGGCAAGGACGTCCCCTCTCACCACTCCTTTTCAACATCATAGTGGAAGTTTTAGATACTGTAATAAGACAAAAATAAATAAATAAAAGATATACAGATTGGGAAGGAAAAAAATAAAACTTTGTTTGCAGATGACATAATTGTCTCTGTAGAAAACCTGAAATGACCAAAAAAAAAAAAAAAAACCCTCCTAGAACTAGTAAGCAGTTACACAAGTTTGTAAGATACAGGTAAATATATAAAAGTCAATCACTTTCCTTTATACTGTAATGAACAAGTGGAATTTGCAATTAAAAACACAATTCCATTTAGCACCTCCAAAAATGAAATACTTAGATATATGTCTAATAGAATATATGTAAGATTTATATGAGGAAAACTACAAAACTCTGGTGAATGAAATCAAAGAACTAAATAAAATGGAGAGTGACGTTCAAGAATAGGAAGACTCGGGGTACCTGGGTGGCTCAGTCGTTTAAGCATCTGACTCTTGATTTTGGCTCAGATCATGATCTCAGGGTTGTGTGATTGAGCCCCACATTAGGCTCCATGACTCAGTGTGGAGTCTGCTTGAGATTCTCTCTCTCTCTCCTTCTGCCCATCCTCCGCTTGCACATGCTCTCTCTCTCAAATAAATAAATAAGTAAAATCTTTAAAAAAAAAGGATAGGAGGACTCAATATTGTCAAGATGTCAGTTCTTCTCAATATGATCTATAGATTAAATGCAAACCTAATCAAAATTACAGCAAGTTCTTTTGTAGAAATTTGATTCTAAAGCTTATATGGTGAGACAAAAGATCTAGAATAGCCAACATGATATTGAAGGAGAACAAATTTGGAAGACTGACATGACCCAACTTAAAGGCTCGCTCTAAAGAAACAGGAGTCAAGACAGTGTGGTATTTGCAAAAGAAGAGCCAGATGGATCAATGGAACAGAATAGAGAGCCAAGAAATAGTCCCACATAAGTAAAAGCAACTGATCTTTGACAAAGGAGCAAAAGCAATACAATGGAGCTGAGGTAGTTTTTTCAATGAATAGTGCTTCAACAACTGGACAGCCACTTGAAAAAAAAAAAAAAAAAAAAAAGGAATCTAGACAGAAATCTTACACCCTTCACAAAAATTAACTCAAAGCAGACCAGAGACTTCAAGCAAAGTGTGAAACTAATTATAAACTCCTAGAAGATAACAGGAGAAAAACAAGATGACTTTGGGTGTGGTGATGACTGTTTAGATACAACCACAGGCATGATCCATGAAAGAAATCATCGATAAGCTGGACTTGATTAAAATTAAAACCTTCTGCTCTGTGAATGACACTGTGAGAAGAATAAGACAAGCCACAGACTGGGAGAAAATATTTGCAAAAGGCATATCTGATAAAGGAATGTTATCCAAAATATACAAAGAACACTTAAAGTCTCAAAAATAAGAAAGAAAACAACTTGATTAAAAACCGGGCCAAACATCTTAATAAACACCTCACCAAAGAAGACATGCAGATGACAAAAAAGCATGTGAAAAGATGTTCCACATCATATATCATCAGAGAAATGCAAATTAACAGTAGTGAGATACCACAAGACACCTATTAGAATGGCCACAATCCAGAACAGTAACACCACCAAAAGCTGACAAGGATGTGGAACAAAAGGAACTCTCATTCATTGCTTTTGGGAGTGTAAAATTGTACAGCCATTTTGTAAGGTGGTTTGGTGATTTCTTACAAAACTGAACATACTCTTTCTATACAATCTAGCAGTCGTATTCCTTGGTATTTACCCAAAGGATTTTAAAACTTAACATCTGCACAAAAACTTGTGCATAGATGTTTATTGCACTTTTATTCGTAACTGCCAAAACTTGGAAGCAACCAACCTATCTTCAGTAGGTGACTGAAAAAACTGGTATAGCCAATAAATGGGATATAATTCAGCCCTAAAAAGAAATGAGCTATCAAGCCATGAACAGACATGGAGGAAACTTAACTGCATATTACTAAGGGAGAGAAGCCAGTCTGAAAAGGCTGCATATACTGTATGATTCCACCTATATGACATTCTGGAAAATGCAAAACTATGGAGACCCCAAAAAAGGGGTTCCCAGTGGTTGAGTGGGTGAGGGATGAATAGGCAGAGCACAGGGGATTTTTAAGGCAGTTAAACTATTTTGTATGATCCTGTAATCACGAATACCTGTCATTATACATTTGACCAAACCCACAGAATGTACGATAGCAAGAGAGAACCCTAACGTGAAGTGTAGACTTTGGGTAATTATCATGTGTCACTATAGGTTCATCAGTTGTAACAAATGTACTGCTGTGGTGGGGGTTGTTGATAATAGGGGAAACTATGCATGTGTTGGGGCAGTTTGTATATGAGAAATCTCTTCACCTTCCTGTCAGTTTTCTTCTGAACCTAAAACTGCTCTTAAAAAAATCTTTTAAAAAAAGAAAATGAATTATTGATATATTGAACAATATGGATGACTATCAGAATAATTATGCTGAGTGAAAGAACCTAGACACAAAAAGAGTATATTCTCTATGATTCCACTTAAGACTAGAAAATGCAAGCCGATCTATCTACAGTGATAGAAAGTGATCAGTGTTTACCTGGGGACGGGGTCTCGGTAGGGCTAGACAGAGGGATTATAAAAGGACATGAGAAAACTTGGGAGTGTGTCCATGTTCGTTATCTTGATTGTGGAGATGGCTTTAAGGGTGTATGTGATGTATGTGGTATCATGGGTGTATACATATGTCAAGATTTAACAAAGTGTATAGTTTATGGTATGTCAATTTAACTTAAAATTGTTTTTAAATATGAATTTATTTATAAGTTAATGTCAGGATAAGAAGAATATTAACCCCTGATAGTGTGTATGGTGAATATATAAACCAATACACTGAAATGCTCCATGAAGAGACACTAGTGATATGTAAAGTTTAATAGGATGATTTCTGAGAAGCTAATGTTAGGAATACCTGGAGATTTAGGATGTTGGAGAAGATAGGATGAAAGCATTTAAATCAGGACCGTTTGAGACACTGCTATGCTTTTCTTACTGGTGTGAGCCAATATTTGATGCTTCTCTGGACAGTAATTTTTTTCCCCTTTATCTCACCTTCCAGTGTTTCTTTTACATGAAACCCTTCCTAAGAATTAGGGAATAGTTCAAGGCAGTTGTCTCAGGTCCAGCTATAACCCATTTCAGTCCAAAGCATAAATTGTCAGGTTCCATCTCTTAACATCCTTACTGAAAATGCCATTTACGCTTAGTCTTCCTAATCCCCATGGCTTGTTTTTCTCAGTCCTACACACCTCCAAGCAACGAGTTCAAGATCAGCATGAAATTGGAAGCACAGGACCCCAGGAACACCACATCCACATGTATTGCCACAGTAGTTGGACTGACAGGTGCCCGCCTCCGCCTTCGCCTTGATGGCAGTGACAACAAGAATGACTTCTGGCGGCTGGTTGACTCAGCTGAAATCCAGCCTATTGGGAACTGTGAGAAGAATGGGGGTATGCTGCAGCCCCCTCTGGGTGAGTAACTAGACCCAAGCTCTCCTTAGCCAATTAGTTATCTTTTCAAAATTGTACATCATATTATGGGAAAGCCTAGGTCCCCTGCCTATTCCTTCTTTTTCATATGGCCAAAAGAAAAGGCCCACCCAAAATGAAATGAACTGTAAAATCTGGACAGATCCATCTCTACATTAACTTATAATATCCAAGCTTCTCTTAAGCTCTCCTTTTTCTAACTAGAACCCATACCTTTCATCCTTCTTTGTCAGTTCTCATTTACCCTGAGAGAGAAAATGGAAGATCTTACCATTTAACCTGCCTCCCAAAAACCACAGAACTTTTACCAAATCCTACAATGATAACAAAAGATGAGAGAAGATTTCCCAGTAAAAGGATGACTATTATAGGGGTTCCTTCTTTCCTTTCCCCTAAATTCTCACTTGGTCCTTGTAAGTTTCTCAATTTGAATTAATTTGCATTTTTTATTTAAACTAATAACCCCACTATATCTTTCTTCTCAAGATCAGACTTACCTTTTTTTCCCCCTCGGAATACCTCAGTGATTTAGCCCATCTCATCAGTTACTATCAATCACTATTGCAGTGAGTCTCAACAGAGAAGAGAGAGAGATGGGTTATGAGCTATGGCCCCTTAGAAGACTGTACTAAATTAATTGAGCTTTAGAGGACAGGTACCACTTGGAAGAGATCCAAAGGTGGTTACTGAATATTATCCCCCATTTAAAAAATTTATTTGTATTGTAAAATTCCAAACATATACAAAAGTAGAAGGAATAGCACAGTGAATGTCCATGTATTCTTTATCCTTGGTAATTACCAACACATAGTCATTCTTGTTTTATTTGTACCTGCACATATTCCCTGCCCTCTCCTGCCCAATTGCCCAAACATCATTATCATTCTATCATTAAATAGTTAGTATTTGTGTCTCATAGATAATATTTTTTAAAACATAATCATAATAGCATTATCATATGTAAATAAGCTAATGATAATTCATTAATATCAACAAATATTTACTCAGTGTTTAAATTTTCCCTGTTGTCTGTCTGTCTGTCTCTTTCTCTCTCTCTCTCTTAGTTTCTTTGAATCAGGATTCAAATAAGACCCACATATTGCAGTTGGTTGATACGTCCTTTAAGTCTCTTAATCTATGGGTTCTCCTTCTCTCTTATTTTTTTCTCACAATTTATTTGTTGAAAAACCTAAATAATTTGTCTTTAATATCTCCCACAATTAGATTTTTGCCAATTGTATCTCTGTGGTTTCATTTGACATGTTTCTCTGTTCTCTCTTTCCTAGAAACTGGCAGCTAGGTCTAGAGGCTTGATCAGGTTCAGGTTCAATTTTTTCATAAGAATATTTCATAGGTGATGGTGTTTACTTCTATTAGGAAGCATATATCATCTCGTTGTCTCTCATTTTATAATGTAGCAGCCATTACTGCTTGTGGTCCAGATCAAGGGTTGACAGATTTTTTTAAAGGGTTAGACAGCAAAACTTTCAGGCTTATTGGCCATACATTCTCTGTTGCAACTAGTCAACTTTGTCATTGTCATACAGAAGCAGCCAGAGACAACACATAAACAAATGAGCAAGGCTGTGTTCCAATAAAATCTTGTATTTACAAAAACAGATGACCAGTCTGCTGGCTATAATTTGCTGACCCCTGATTTAGATCAATCAATTCATTATGTTTGCAAAATGGGAAATTTTAATCTTATAATTCCATCCACATAAATTAAATGGAATATTTCTATTAAAATAAACTTCCATCAATTATTTGGCTATTGTAAGGATATCATTCATGGAAGAAAGCTTAAATGCTTGATTCTTTTCTTTACTTACCAATTTTCAAAATGATGAATTGGTTTACTACCATCCTCCAAAAATATTTAAGGACAGTTTTTTTGTTACTGTTGTTTAGTATCATAAACCCAAGAATTCATACATATTTGACATGTTTCATTCATTGCACTAATTGTCCTTATTGATTCTTGATTTGTCCCATCATTGGCTATGTAGGAGCCTCATCAAATGGTCTCCTGACTTTATTGCTTGATAGCTCTTTTGGAATTTTTGAAATTTCAAAATGTTCCAGGCTCATCTTATATACTATCTGCCCCAAATATGGAATCAGCTATGTCTTTTAGGTGCCTGGGTTCCTTTTAGTGGGAAATGATATTTAGAGACTGTAATCTGAACACTAGAGTACTCAGTGCTAATGGGGTTGGTTGTTCTTTCTGTGTCTTTTTGGCATAGATTTTTATCTTTATTAAAGGTGAAATCATTAGTTCATATCGATACTTCCTACTAAAATTCAGGAAAAATGGTGTTTTTATTTACTTTATCTTTGCTGTCTTAAATCTGTATTTCCTTTGCACCACAACAAAACTCTAGTTCTCCATATCACTAACAAAATAACTCATTTGTTTTATCATATAATACACATACAGCAGGCTCAGAATAACAGTAACACTTACTACCATTATCATTACTGACAGTGTTTGAGTTACTTGCCTTTCTTTTTTTCTTACCCTCAAGTGAAGTATAGTCAATAATATGTTATAAGGTTGTTTGGATTGGTTTCTCTCTGGGTGGCAGTGCCACCAAGAATAAACATAGGTTCATTTGTTGTATTTCTTTAAAAGATTTATTTATTTTAGAGAGAGAGCGCATGGGTGCACGTGAATGGGGGAGGGGCAGAGGGAGAGGGAGAGAATCCTCAAGCAGACTCCCTCCTGAGCACGGAGCCCGACATGGGGCTCAATCCCAGGACCCTGAGATCACAACCTGAGCCAAAATCAGGAGTCAGATGCTCAACCAACTGAGCCACCCAGGCACCCCTCTATTTTTTTTTTTTTTTTTAGAGTTTACTTTTTAGAAATGTTCCTTTATAAATATATATGTGACATACATCATTCTTAAAGTCAAATCTATAAAACAAAGTATATTCAGAGAAATCCCCTTCACCTCATTCCTTTCTTCTGCCATAGGCCACCACTTTCTTTTAATTTTATAGTTTGTACTTCATTTTTTTTAAAGTGGTTCTTTTTTTTTTTTTTTAAAGATTTTATTTATTTATTTGACAGGGAGAGACACAGCGAGAGAGGGAACACAAGCAGGGGGACTGGGCGAGGGAGAAGCAGGCTTCCCGGGGAGCAGGGAGCCCGATGCGGGGCTCAATCCCAGGACCGATCATGACCTGAACCGAAGGCAGATGGTTAATGACTGAGCCACGCAGGCGCCCCTGTACTGCATTTTTTAAAAATACAAATATATTTGTGTGTGTGTGTGTGTGTGTCTGTGTCTGTGTGTACACTCATACATATGTATTTCCCACTTTCTTATATAAATGCAGCATACTATACATATTTGTCTTAACCTTGCTTTTTTCCATTTAATGAAATTTCCTCAAGTTGATTTCTTAGTTAGTATGGAGATATTTCTTATTCCTTTTTATAGCTGCATAGTACTGTATAATTCTCAACCTGCTTTATGAATCACTATTTAGAAACATCTTGATAGGCTATTAAAAATACAATTGACCCTTGAACAACACAGGTTTGAACTGCACAGCTCCATTATACACAGATTTATTTCGATAAATACAGTACACTACTATAAATCTATTTTCCCTTCCTTATTTTCTTAATAACATTTTCTTTTCTGTAGCCTATTTCATCATAAGAATACTCTATATAATACATACAACATACAAAATATGTGTTAATCAGCTCTTTACATTATCATTAAGGCTTTAGGTCAACAGTAGGCTATTAGTAGTTAAGTTTTGGGGGAATCAAAAGTTACACATGATTTTTGAGTGCATGGGGTGAGTGGGGGTCAGTACCCCTAAACCCTGCATCATTCAGGGGTCAACTATATAAGCTCCCAAGGATAATAGTGATGATTTAAATCACAGTCTTCCAGTAAATTCTCTAGAAACGTACAGATCAAAAAGGAAACCAAACCAAGCCACCCATAATTCATGTTTAAATCTGTGGAATACCACAGATTTCAATTATATGTTGTCTACGGGTTCAGATATAAAGATCTGAAATCATTAGAGCTAGTACCTGACCCATACCAGAATGAATAGTTTTATGTAGGTAGAAATTGCATTTAGAAAGGGGAGGGCAGTGGGAGGCTAACACAGTCAAAATTACCTCCAGGAAAAGATAGTTCAGTTTAGAGTGGGAAATACTAAGAACAGAGCTAAGACCTACTTGATTAGAACATTGGCTACTGGGGAATCCAAAGGAAGAGAGTGGATTGAAAGTGTGAGGGACTAGAGATAGCACTCTTGAGAAGATAACTACCTTTGGGGGACATATGTTGAAGGAAAGGAAGGAAGTCGGGGGTTGTAATTCAGAATTATGCAGAAACAGAAGAGAATCAGTCAAAAGACACACCAGTCTTCCCATCCCATTCCAACAGGCTCATCTACTGAAGAAACTGTTTCACTAGGTCAACAGAAAATTCATAACCCAAGATTCCTGCCAAAGTAGAACCTCCCGTTTTTGCTGGTCCAGGAAAATATATTTCAAATGATTACAAAACAGCAGTCAGTATGTATAAAAAGCTTCTATATGACGAAAAACCAAAGATGAGAATAAAACCATTTTAACTACTGAAAATTCTGCCAAAATCAGTTACTAACCAGAAGAAAACTATTGCACAACAACCCAACTTGAATTAAATAAGTATTGACAGATAATGAAAAAAATCCCATGAATCATAAATTTTAAAAGTCAGACTAGAAATGCACAATAGACAGGAAGATGTGAAAATAGAATTGTCCAAACTCAAGAAAAAAATTGAAGAAAAACAAAATAATCTCAGTTGCAGACTCAATTCCAGGGTGCCCAATGCATACTGGGTTTAACTGCAAATATAATAAGGGACATTGAGAAGAGAACTAGAAACATCCAAGAGAATAAAAATAAATATTAGGAAAGGTTAAAAAGTATCAGAAAGGAACTGTTAGATATAGAA